CCTCTCAGGACTGGCCTTAGCTGTGTCCATAAGTCCTTCGTCACAGTTGTGTTTTTTACATTTGTCATTGACTTCCAGGAACTTTTTTAATTTCTCTTTTATTTCATCGATGATCCATTCTTCATTAAGTAATGAGTTATTAGTTCCAGCTGTTTGCATGTTTTTTTGTCTTTACTTTTGTTGTTGAGTTCTATCTTTTACTGCATTGTTATGAGATGTATGCACGGTATAATTTCCGTTTTCTATATTTGCTGAGACTTGCTTTGTGCCTAGATATGATCTATTTTGGAGAAGATTCCATGGGTGCCGAGAAGAATGTATATTGTGTAGAGGTTGGATGAAATGTTCTGTAGACATCTTACTAGGTCCATTTGATTATTGCTATTTTAGATCGTATTTCTTTATTGATGTTTTTTGTTTGGATACCTATCTATTGATGATAATGAGGTGTTAAAGTCTCCCACAACCCACTGTGTTGGGCGTTTATATATGCTTTTCAGTTTTTCAGGGTATTTTGATGAAATTGGGTGCATTGCACTTGGGTGCATACAGATTGATGATTTATATTTCCTTTTGGTCTTTTTCCCCTTTTATTAGTATGGAATGTCCTTCTTTTATCTCTTTGATCAATGTTAGTTTGAAGTCTACTTTGTCAGAGATAAGTATTGCTTACTCCTGCCTGTTTTTGGGGGCCATTGGCTTGGTAAATCTTCTTCCAGCCTTTCATCCTAAGCCTATGCTTATTTCTGTCGTGAGATGGGTCTCCTGTAAGCAACAAATTGTTTGGGGTTCTTTTAATCCATTTCATCAAGCGGTGCTTTTGATGGGTGAATTAAGTCCTTTAACATTAAGCGTTAGTACTGATAGGTATGTGGTGAGTCCTGTCATTTAGTTTTCTTAGTTGTTTGAAGGTTTGATTGTGTGTACCTAAGTTGAGGTTATGCTCTCCTTTCCTGCTTTTTCTTTTCCTGTAGTTTGGTGCTGCCTGTCCTTTCATGGTTAAGTTGGGTTTCACTTTCTGTGTGCAGAATCACTTGAAGAATCTTTTGTAGTGGTGGCTTTGTGGTCACATATTGTTTTAGTTTCTGCTTATCATGGAAGACTTTTAATTGCTCCATCTATTTTGAATGATGTTTTTGCTGGGTAGAAGTATCCTGGGTTGAAGTTATTTTCATTCAGTGCCCGGAAAGATCTCACCACGCTCTTTCTTGCTTTTAATGTTTCTGTTGAGAAGTCTGCTGTGATTTTGATGGGTTTACCTTCGTATGTTAATTGTTTTTTTCTCTCTTTACAGCCTTCAATATTTTCCTTAGTTTCTGAACTTGTTGTTTTAATGATGATATGTGTGGGTAGTTTATTTTGATCTGGTCTGTTTGGTGTCCTGGAGGCCTCTTGCATCTGTATGGGAATATCTTTCTCTAGATTTGGGAAATTTTCCGTTATTATTTTGTTGAAGAGATTACTCATTCCTTTCATTTGCACCTCTTCTCCTTCTTCAATGCCCATGATTCTCAAGTTTGGTCTTTTGATGGAGTCGGTGAGTTCTTGCATTTTCTTTTCACAGGTCTTGAGTTGTTTAATTAATAGTTCTTTGGTTTTTCCTTTAATTACCATTTCATCTTCAAGTTCTGAGATTCTGTCTTCTGTTTGTTCTATTCTGCTGGATTGGCCTTCCGTTTTGTTTTGCAGTTCTGTTTCATTCTTTTTTCTGAGGTTTTCCATATCCTGGGTGGTTTCCTCTTTAATGTTGTCTATTTTTGTCCTGAGTTCATTTATCTCTTTATTAATCGTGTTCTCTGTTTCATTTTGGTGTTTATACAGTGCTTTTATGGTTTCCTTTATTTCTTCTGCTTTTTCAAATTCTCTATTTTTGTTGTCTTTGAATTTCTTGAGTGTCTCCTATACATTTTGGTTGACCCTATCCAGTATCATCTCTATAAAATTTTCATTGAGTACCTGTACTATGTCTTCTTTTACATTATTCTTGTGGGTTTCATTGGGTCCTTTGGCATAGTTTATCTTCATTTTTTTGGAGTCTGGATCTGAGTATCTGTTTTCTTCATTCCCCTCTGGTTCCTGTACTAATTTTTTGCTGTGGGGAAACTGGTTTCCCTGTTTTTTCTGTCTTCCCGTCATTGTCTTTGGTGTTGTTACTGTCCCTGTACTCTGTGCAATTAAGTATTTTCTAGCTTGTAATAATAACAATGGTAATATTTAGAATGGAAGGGTGAGCTGAGATGGAAAGCAAGAAGTTAAACAAAAGGGGAAAACAAATACACAGACAAGAGGGAGAAAGCAGAAGAAGGTTTCAGACAAGAAAGTTTCAAAGGTATAAATAGGGAGCGTGAGTGTACTAATTGACATTAAGCTGAACAGACAGAGAGACAGAGAGAGGATTGAAAATGAAAAATAAAAAAATAAAGAGAAGAATAAAAATAAAAAATAAGTAAATGAAAGAAATATCTACATATAAATATGAATTAAAATAAAATGGAAAATAGAAAATTAAAAAAAAAAACAAAAACCAAAAAACCTCCAAGTTCAAATGCAATGAAGTTTCAGTCTTAATAATTTGGGTGTCCGTCTCAGTCTCCAATCCTGGAGATGGTGCTTCAGATGTTGTTCTGTACTTGTCTCATCAAAGGCGACGCATAAAGTAGAACAAAACTACACACACACACACACACAAAACCCCACCAAGTGTCCCAAGTTCAAATGCAATATAGTTTCAGTACGTTTTTCCACTTGTAGGTGTAATTCAGTTGTTCTCTCATCAAAGGTGGGGAGAAAAAGAAAAAAAAAGAGTCTGGAGACAGTTCTGAGAATGGTATCTGCTGCTGTGGCTTGCCTGCCCGCTGCTGTCAGCCTGCTGTTGCTGGAGGCGTTGTTTATGCAGATCTCTGGGGTGAGCTTAGCACTCACCTGGCCCCGCAGGCTTTGTTTGTTCAGAGTTCTCCTGTGCGGGAGCCTCTGCTACAGGCTTTCCCCTTTCCAAGCACTGGGAAAGGTGACCTGCACAGGCGTTGTCAGGCCTGCGTGTTTATTTACAGTTCATGTGGGAGGTGGGTCTTCCCCCCTCTCCTGTGTAGTTTTCCTCCCACAGCCACTTTCACAAGCTTTCCTGCTCCTGCTTACTGGGCGGTGCAGCTGCTTCTACCAGCCGTCATGTTTGTTTACAGTTCACGTGGGAAATGGGTCTTCCCTCCTCTCCTGTGGAGTTTTTCTCCCTCTGCCACTCTCACCAGCTTTCCCGCTCCTGGTTGCTGGGCATGAGCCCTGCCCCCGCTCCCGCCAGAGCCTCTCCGGCCTGCCAGGCTTGTTTATTTACAGTCCCGTGAAGGATTCTCTTCCCCTAATCTTCGGCACTCAGTGTGCCCCACCCTCTTTCCCTCGTGTCTTTATTGTTCTTATTGCTTATTACTCAGTTTCTCTTTTTTCCCCGGGTTGAGGTCAGTCTGTCCAGGGGGCTATGCTGCTCTGGCCCAGGCTTGTCTGTGGGAGTACCGCGGTACCTTGAAGCTCACCGGGTCTGCGTCTTCCCAAGACGTCTGGGCGCAGGCGACTGGCGGCCCTGGGCCCTGCTGGTTTCTCCATTTAACATGAAGTGGAGATTCTCTGCGCTGGCTGGAGGTGTGGAGGGGTCAAAGTTATGCCTCTTCTCAGTGATTATGCCTGCAAAGTGTGTCTCCGGAGTCTCTCCAAGATTTCACTATAGGAGGCTCACTTTCTGCTTCCTCCCTCTAGCCGCCATCTTTAAAAATTACATCTTCTTAACTATTGCTTTGTCTATCACCTCCAGGAATCTGGCTTGGTCTTTGGACTGAACCAAGTGCAAGACATGCCACGCCCCTGGATCTGTGTGTCCAGGTGGACAGTAGGAGTATGGCAGGGCGTGGTAATGTGTGAGGGTGTTCTACAAATCAAGTGTATATTTTTTCTACATGATAATCCCTACCTTAGCCTCCCAAGTAGCTAGGATTATAAGTGTGAGCCAACAGCACCAGGCTTAGGTAAAATCTTCTTGAAGTATGTGTTTAAAGCCTTTGCCTATTTTAAAAAAGAAGGAAAAGAAGAGAAGAAAAACAGTCAATAATAATTAAATACATTACATCTGTGTAGGAACATGACACAATGAGACACTCTCATTTTTTGTAGGAATTTTTCATATATTCATCATTCTTAGATAAGAGTATTACTAATATGACATTTTACATATGAGACTAGATATTTCTGTTATATTTCACCCTAGTCTGTTGCTTGTCTTTTCACTTTCTTGATGCCTTTTGTTGAATAGATATTTTGAATTTTAATAAAAATCTGCTCTTCCAGTGTTTTTCATACATGGATAGTGGATTTTGTGCTCCATTTAAATCTTTACTTACCCCAGGGTCCTGAATATCTTCTTATGTTTT